TTTGTATACACATAATGTGGCACTTCATGTTATGGTTTCAATCTTTGGATTCATGCCCTAGCTTGGCACTCAAAATCTGCTGACCTTTCCAGTTTCATCTCTAGTCTCTGAACCCCTACTCACATTTATGTACACACATACATACCCCAAGCTCCAACTTTACTGAATTGTAGTTCCCCAACATGCCTTTTTTTCTTTTTATTGAAGTGTAGTTGATTCACAGTGCTGTGCCAATCTCTGCTGTGCACCACAGTGACTCAGTTTTATACACATAGACATGATTTTCTATATGCTTTTCCATGATGGTTTATCCCAGGAGATTGGATATAGCTGCCTGTGCTATACAGTAGGACCTTGCTGTTTATCCATTCTAAATGTAATAGTTTGCATCTACCAACCGCAGACTCCCAGTCCATCCCTCTCGGCAACCACAAGTCTGATCTCTATGTCAGTGAGTCTGTTTCTGTTCTGTAGATAGGTTCATTTGTGCCATATTTTAGTTTCCACATGTAAGTGATATCATGTGGCATTTGTCTTTCTCTTTCTGACTTCACTTAGTGTGATAATACTTGCATCCATGTTGCTGCAAATGGCATTATTTCATTCTTTTTTTACAACTGAGTAGTATTCCATTGTATATATGTACCACAGCTTCTTTAGCCATTCATCTGTCAATGGACATTTAGGTTGTTTCCTTGTTTTGGGTATTGTGAACAGTGCTGCTAATGAACATAGGGGTGCATGTACCTTTTTGAATTATAGTTTTTTCTGGGTATGTGCCCAGGAGGGGGTTGCTGAATCATATGGTAATTCTAATTTTAGTTTTCTGAAGAACCTCCATACTGTTCTCCAGCAGTACAACTTACATTCCCACCAACACTGTAGGAGGGTTCCCTTTTCTCCACACCCTCTACAGCATTTGTTATTTGTAGACTTTTTAATGATGGCCATTCTGACCGGTGTGAGGTAGTACCTCATTGTAGTTTTGATTAGCATTTCTCTAATAATTAGTGATGTTGAGCATCTTTTCATGTGCCTATTGGCCATCCATATGTCTTCTTTGGAGAAATGTCTATTAAGGACTTCTGCCCATTTTTCAATTGGGTTGTTTGCTTTTTTGTTGTTGAGTTGTATGAGCTGTTTGTATATTTGGGAGGTTAAGCCCTTGTCGGTTGCATCATTTGCAAATAATTTCTCCCATTCTGTAGGTGGTCTTTTCATTCTTTTTATGGTTTCCTTTGCTGTGCAAAAGCTTGTAAGTTTGATTAGGTCCCATTTGTTTATTTTTGTTTTTGTTTCTATTGCCTTGGGAGACTGACCTAAAAAATATTGGTACGATTAGAGAATGTTTTGCCTATGCTCTCTTCTAGGAGTTCTGTGGTGTCATGTCTTATGTTTAAGTCTTTAAGCCATTTTGAGTTTATTTTTGTGCATGGTGTGAGGGCGTGTTCTAACTTCATTTATTTACATGCAGCTGTCCAACTTTCCCAATACCACTTGCTGAAGAGACTGTCTTTTTCCCGTTTTATATTCTTGTCTCCTTTGTTGAAGATTAATTGATGATAGGTGTGTGGGTTTATTTCTGGGCTCTCTATTCTGTTCCATTGATCCATATGTGACAACATGCCATTTTTAATTCCTCCCCTTCTCTCTCTGTTCTTCCTTCCTTCCACCTCTGCTTGAATCAGCCTCAATCCCTGGCCTTACTGTAACCCACTCTCATAGTTTGGTGCTGGATGCACCCCCAGCTCAGAACTCTAAGCTTAAAAGCCATTCCCTGGACTTCCCTGGTGGCGCAGTGGTTAAGAATACGCCTGCCAATGCAGGGGTCACAGGTTCAATCCCTGGTCCAGGAAGATCCCACATGCTGTGGAGCAACCAAGCCCCTGCGCTGCAACTACTGAGCCTGCACTCTAGAGCCTGGGAGCCACAACTACTGAGCCCATGCACCACAACTGGTGAAGCCCACATGCTCTAGGGCCCGCGGGCCACAACTGCCGAACCTGCTTGCTGCAGTTACTGAAGCCCACACGCCTAGAGCCTATGCTCCGCAACAAGAGAAGCCGCCGCAACAAGAAGCCCATGCACTGCAACATAGAGTAGCCCCTGCTCACCACGACTAGAGAAAGCCCGCACACAGCAACAAAGACCCAACGCAGCCAAAAAAAAAAAGGAAAAAAAAAAAACAAACATTCCCAGGCATAGAGTTTCCATGATGTGTGTATACAGGTATATGCTTATGTGTGTGTGTCTGTATGTCTGTGTATGGCCAGAGTGCACAAGCACTTTTAGCAAGCACGTTATTCAACTGCCCCATTTAACAAAGCTGAGCCCAGGATTAAATTCTGTGGTTTCTGAATTTTCAGGAGGTGACATGCTGCCTTTGGTATCAGATTTGATTAAACTTGATAATTATAATGCCATTTGGTTCTGTTGCGGAGGAAGAATTAAATTGCTTACTCTAGAGAATGAATTTTTTCCACTAAGGAAAAGAACATTTATTAAAATTATCTTGGTGACTGAAAGGGGGAAATGTACTTCTTTTTCCTCATCAGAAGCAGGTCCAAGGCATTATTAGCACGTGATAAAAATTGAATAATTGAGCAACACTGACTACTTTGGGATTCAGGTTTCCAGCCCCTGCTGTGTGATTAGTTCAGTCCAACCTGCTGGCATGCTTAAGCAGGGAGCCTGCAAAGGATCAGGAAGGAAAAACCCTTTAACAAATCTCAGGTACTGAAGACATTTGATTTAATTTTACATGTTACACATGGTAATCTGGTTTCCCTTGGCAACCTCCAGTTCTACCCTACTTTATAATCAGAGGATGGCAGGTGGATTACAGACTTGATGGCATCATCTGGAAGTGACCATAGGGAACAGAGTTTGCCTCAAAAGAGGAGAGAAAAAGGTCAATATAAAAGGACAGAAGAGTCTGAGTTCCCTTAAAAAAAGGACAGATAGTTCTCTATAGCTCAGATACCCATGAGGGTTTCATTGATGAGGGAGGTTCCAGAACTACTTATAGCAGAGCAGTTTGGGATGTGAGGGAAAGGGATCAAGCCTTTTAAGTCTTTAAAGGGATAATAATTTTATTACTTGTGAAATACAGATAAGGTTTTAATTCAAAAATGACAGTAATAGTTACCATTTATTAAGTACATGCCAGGAATCTTACTTGGTTCTTTACGTACATAATTTCATTAAATCCTTATAATATCTCTGCAAGAGGAGTATTAATATCCCTTTACAGATGAGGAAACAAGTATTTATTGATCTGTTAAATAAAGTATGGAGGCTGAAGGAAGGTGGGGTAACATTGAATACAAGGTTTCAACTTTAGTCGATTTATTTATTTTTTTATTATTTATTTATTTTTTCTATGATCTCAAAGCCCTATAAGTCTTAATAGCCCCTGTTACAAAACAGTATACTAAGTAATGTCCATTAATGATGACCTTTAGCCATCCAGAAAAATTTAAATTACAATCATCTTAGTCTAACTCTCTTATTTTATACATTAGGAAACAGAGTGCCAGAAATCTGGTAAAGCCTAAAGCCAGGTCTTCTGACAACTCATAATTTGTGTATTACACCATGCCCATGCACTTTCAGAGAGAGCTTGAGTAAATGGAAGGCAAGAAGGAAGGGGTCTTGCAGCGCTATAAATGGTATTAGTTTGAGCTAGCAAAGTAAACAAACTAACAGATCGGAAGGTACTGATGAGACATTTAGGCATTGGGAACAGTTCTAGTTCTTACCTAGCTAGTGACTAATTTATTCTGCTTGGCTCATGTCTGAACAAAGTAATGCACATAATGTTTCCAAATGATCCTAAGTCTTTAGCAGTCTCTGGTGCCCCACCAGCCACTTGAAGTTTAAAAGGACAGGGTTCTACATATGAACAACAAAAGCTGTCTCTCTCTCTCTCTGTCTCTCTGTCTTTCTCTTTGTCTTTGTCTCCCTGTCGCTCTCTCTCTGTCTTGCTCTCTCTGTCCCTCTCTTTCTCCAGGTCTTGAAGTGGATGTGACTGGCCATTTTTGTGACATGTAGAAGCAGAGACTACTTATGGCATTTTATTGACTTACACACGTATGCTTCTGTCATGTTCACAGAATGCTGTATATACGAGGCAGGCCATGTATTACCTTTCTTTAAGGTGAAAGTTATGGGAGTCTAATGGCAAACTGAGAAATCTTACTGTCACACACTTACCATGCAAAGCATTTTATATGAATTTCACTTAATCCTCATAACGACCATGATTGTGAATGTTATTGTTTTCATTTTAGCAACTTTTTCAGTTTTTTATTAATCCTTCCCAGAACATTCTCCCTAGCATTTAATTATGAGAATTTTCAAAACTATATTAAAGTTGAAAGAATTGTACAGTGAACACCCATATACCCACTTAGATTCTATACTTGTTGCTATTTTTCTTTATTTGCTTTATTATATACCTATCAATTTATCCAGCCACCCATCTTAGTTTTTGTTGTATTTCAAAGTGAGTTATAGACATTAGCACATTTTACTCCTAAACACTTATATGTGGATATCATTAATTAGAGTTAAAAATGTTAGCTCTATTAAAAAAACAAAAAAAACTGAGTCCTTCTTTGGAGACATAGTATGTACTCCTCAATCACTTTGAGCTTTCCCCTATGAAATAGTAAGATATTTAAAAATATATATATAAGCTACCCATATTAAAAAACACTTGTAACTCATTAATGAGAAATGGAAATCTGTGGGGAGGAGGGGGATACCACTGTTGAATTCGTAGGCCACAGCAAGCCGGCACTACAAAGTGGCATCTTACCTCACTTCTGATTTTAAATGAGATTGAGGTCATTGCTGCATTTCTGAACACTAACTCCTCTCCTGAAAAGGAGAGTTTGATTAGCCAGTTACTTAAGCAGTTTACTAATGATATTGGAACCAAATTTCAATGAACATTTTTTCCCTTTTCTTTCTGGGTGTGACTAAATTGCCTACAGCATGCTGCATGGTTGCTGGTAAAACAGGAAATGGGGTAAGTAATTTAGGTAGGGAATTTTTACTACCCTTTAAATATAAGCTACCTTATTCTTAAAGTACTTTTACTACTACTATCTCTTTTTTTAGACGGAGTTCACTAGCTGCTAGAGAAATTGGCACAAAGAGGAAATTTTTATTGTATATATTTAAGGTGTTAACCTTGTTTAATTGGTTTATTTGCACAGCATATTAGTAGTCTATTAAAGCAGACTCATTTTTTTTTTGGTAGATTTATCATGAATGTAAATGCATGTAGTTTGGCAACTTATTTTAAAGGAACACATTTTATACTGGTCTTAGAAACTAAATTATAAAACTAATTATGCTATAAAAGATACATAGTAAAGTCCTAGTTAAGGCAGAACAACAGTGAGTTTATACATAGATAAGACATAGAAAACATAGGTCCACAATCCTTTATCTGAAACCCTTGGTGCCAAATGTGTTTTGAAATTTAGAATTTTTTAGACTTTGGAAATGTAATGCAGTATAAATACCATATATAATATACCCATCTCCTCCAGGGTCTGGGATAGTACTATATAATCAAACATTAATATTTCTGCAGTGAAATATATGAATAGTCACAATAAATTTGATAAAGTCTAAATAAATAGCCTCACATGTTCAAGTCAGAGTTTGGTTGCCAACTGAGTTAAGGAAAAAATCTTTAATTTCCCAGAGCTTTCTGGATTTTGAAATTAAAAATTTTATACCAGTATGAAAAGGACCATGTGACTACTGGAGTTTCCTGTGTACTCTGGAAAGAAAACCACAGAGAGAAGTATAAATTTCTGTATCAGAATCTCATACTTGGTGTTTTATAGAAAATTAGTTGATTTGGCTTTTTTGTGTGTGTTGTATTTCACATCTGCATTTTTAAAAGGGTAACAACCACATATTTATTAAAGGTTTGGGGGTTCTGTTAGGTTATGTTAAGTTAGTCTCAAATGCTTGTGATTCTGGCGTAATAAAATTTGATCCTATGTTTGAGAAATTTGTTAGCATAGTCAAGTCAGAGCATGCTATTTTTTAAATGTTTCCAGTTTGCATCTACCTTGCTTGCTGTTGTTATTTCTTATTGAAGGATTTTAAACTCAGCTTAGTTCTTCCAAAAGATCCTGATCAATATAGGGATACTAGAACAGAAAAAAATATAGAATAGTAGTCTTTTCTCTCAGTGTCCCTAGTTCATTCTAATATCAAAAGGTTGTGGAGGAATTGCCGTTAAAGAATTGATTCAAGGAATTTAGGAAAAAATGTATTGGATATTTTGGTTCATGTTTGCTTTAGAATGGTTATCCTGTTGTATCTATAGCAAAAGTGATCCTAATTAATATCCTCATCATTAGTTATCTAGCAGAGGAAAGAGGGAAATGCAGTTACTAAGTATTAAATTGGTACTGAATTTACCTTAATGACTACTGATTCCCCTAAAGGACCATCAGCCATAAGCTAAGGACCTTTGTGAAAACATTCACCCTAAATTATATTAGAAAAGCTATTAGCCACATTCAACTTGCAGGATTGAAAATATGGAGTTTTAAGTATTATATTTTTGCCTTAAATGTGAGGTTAAGGTTTCCAAAACGTCTCTTAACGCTTTCTTATAGCTCTTTAATCTGGAACGAAAAAATTCCTTTTGAAGTTTTTAAACTGGATTAACGTGCTTTAAATGTTTTTCAGAGACATGAGGGACTTAAAGTATCAGTTTTCTTAAATATATAATGAGTAATGTTTTAATCCATTTTTAGGATTGGCTTTGGCTACAATCCTTTGTACTCTCTAGAGTCTAAACAATTTTTAAAGGGTTTTCCATTCTTGTGTTTTCTGTTTCACCTTTTTATTCTTTAAAATGTGTGCTCATACCTTAATTATTTACTTTTCAACTGCGATGCTATTTTATGCAAACATCATTAGTTAAACTGTTGATACAATATCAAGATAGTCTGAAAATTTCTAAAATGTTTCTGATAGAGAACTAGGAACAGTTTATGAAGCTAAAACGCTCAGTGTTTGAATAAGTTCTTAAGTGTAAGGAAGTAACTTAATTTTTTTGTCAGATGTAGGGCTTATCAGAGTATTTCATTGTTAAACCACAATCCCAAAGCATATGAAAGCATTCTGTTTAACCAGTTATTCTCAGCTGGATAAGAATGGGTAGATCAACTATTTCTTAATTTGCATTTTTTAGAGGGACAGTGGTCTTTGTGTGTGTGTGTGTGTGTGTGTGTGTGTATTTAGATCAATTAAGTTTAGCCGTTAGCTAAATTATTTTTTGTTTTCTACCTGTAATTCTTAGTGTCTTTTGGTCTTGAGGAATTAAATTACAATGGATATTGACTATATTGTCCTTTCTAATAGTGAAAATAGGACATTGAAAGAAATGATTCACAAGTTGGCCTAAACACCTCTTTTGTTAAAAGCAGTCCTGTAAATAGCTATAGGACTGATTTGAAGTTTTAATTATTTGAATGATACGGCCTGTTTAATAGTGATACTGCAGAGTAGGACTGTTTAAATATTACCATACCATGTTTTTCTTTCCTTTTTCTTCAGTTCCTTTCTGTCTCATTTTAGGTTACAAACTAAAAGCTAGAACTCATAATTGGGACTTCCCCAAACCTATTTATTGGCTCATGAGTAGATTTTGGGGGAATGTAAAATATTTATTGAGATATTTATATGTTGTTAAATTGATGAGCATTCTAGAACACTGATACTTTAGGATTTGATACTTATTCTTTACCAGTAAAGAGAAGTACAGCTTTTACATTGATTTCCCAAAAGTAAGCCCCCATTATCAGGAAGAGAGTAGATACAAACATTTTTGGTCTGAGATTATTGTAATACACAGTTTGTAGTTTCTAAGCAATAAATAATCCTCTCTATTCCACCTTTCCATCTTCTGATGTATAAATCCTGGAATCTGGCAATTCTATCTCAGAAAAACCTCATTTGTATGCTTTTGTCTTTGAAGCTTCAAAAACTGTCTTATATGCCATTAAAAAAAAGCAGTTTCTTGATTCTACTAGAATATAGGTCCATGAACTGAGGAATTTTTGTCTGCTTTGGTCTCTGCTTTCTATCTAATGTGTACAATAGTGCCTGGGACATAGTAGGCACTCAATAATATATACTTTTTAATAATCACATAAATTCTTACTTTCATAAAAATGAAGCTTTTCATGTCAGTGAATTAATTTTTATGTTATTCAGAAAGCAGAGTCTGTCGCTGGAAAGAAATGATACAGTTCAGCTAAAAGAAGCCTACAAATGGATAACTCACCCCCTGTTTTCAGAGGAACTGGGTGTTCCCATTGATGGAAAGGTATTGGGTCATCAGCATTGTTAATTTTATTCTGTGGTTTTACTAGTTTTATTTCATTAAATGGCAGAGTTTTGGTTATCCAAAAGAATCTTCTCTTTCAATAATCCAATGAAGGATTTTTAAGATTTTAAAATGTTAATTTCTAACAGTCTTAAATTGAGGTTAAAGTTTTTCTTTGTGTCTTTTTTTTTTTTTAAAGATTTCTTTGTGATCCAAGACACTTATAACAGGTGCAGTGTATCCTAATTGACCTTAAAAGGTTAGAAGTGAATCTTTGCCTTTAGTATATTTATAGTTTAATTAGACAGACAGTTTTACTGATACAAAGCTAAACATAAATAACTAGGAACAAGTGTGGAGTCAGCTCTAGACTATTTAATTTTGGTTATCTGTGGCTAATTTTGTTTTCAAATATGCAGACAGACCCTATTCAACTACAGTGAGCATGGGCTCAACCTATCCCACCTTGTTGGTATCTCAGGTCCCTCTGTTTAATTTTAAGCAGACTGCCTTTGAAACCAGAACACTTACCATCTCCCCCATTCCAAGGCAGACCTTGCCTCAGCCTTTGAAATGGATTGAATTTTAGGGAAGAGTTCAATAGGTTTCCAGAGATGGAAAGAGGACATATTCCCAGCTCCTCTTAAATTAGACTTTAATAGTATGGCCTCATTGCTTCATCATTTTGCATGAAGGAAATTCCCTGAATATCAGACACACCCCTATTCAAGTAAAGTCACAAAACCATCTTTCAAAGCTAAGTAATTAAAAAATTTTCCTCGTTCTGAATTATATAGCTCTGTTTCCCTCTGTTAGTAAGAGTAAGCTCTGTCCTTTAAACTGAATACTAACAGAATAGAGAATAAAACCACTTCACCGATAGTATGAAGAGGAAATGAGGTGATGAAAGTACTTTGGAAATTAGAGAAGTCATTGATGCAAAATATTTTAACCTCAAATTTCAGTTTGAAGCACAGATAATTTTACATGTTGAATCAGTGAGAACAGAAAATAAAAAACAAAAGATGCGGTAATGTTCTAATGGATTCAGGATGAATGAAGTTTTCTTGAGTAAAAGGAATGTGTTGCAATTTTAATTTTATTTTGTAGATTAGAGCAAAAATTTAGCTATTCACTATTGTGATTATAGAGTCGCTGATAGGCCTGCTGACGATCCAATGCAATCAGTAAATATAGAACACAATAAAAAAGGAAAAATTGTTACATGGTATGATATTTATATATTTTTCTCAGTGTGGAATTTTGTATAATCTCCATGGAGGTAAATGTACATAGAGTATGAACTTGTGCTTTTTTGTGTACAAGGATGTTCATTGTGGCATTTTTTAAAAACAGAAAAAACTTAACTACAACTTAAACGTCCAACAGTCCCTAGAGTGGAAAAGATGTTCATGATGCAATATTAATTGAATTAAGCAATTTTCCAAGTCTGTTTAATATACAAAGAAGTATATACATTTATGTTTATATTCATAAAAATGGCTAGAAGGAAACATGCCAAACTGTTATTGGTTCTACCTCAGTGGAATGGGATTGAAAACCCATCCTATTTGATTATTTTATAATTTATTATGATCACTTTTTTAATAAAACAAAAAATTAAGATCTTGCTTTTAAAAGTCAAATCCGTTAAGAAGTTTGAGCACTTAAAACAAGCCTCATACAGAGTTTTTAAGCATGTGCATAAAGTGCTATTTGCTTTGCTAATAATTCTAATCATAGTACTGAAAGGAGTAATTCTTCATTTCTTTCAGTTATCCCTTTCCAATTCCCTGAATTCTCATTCATCTTCATACCTAATTGTACATTTATATATTTTTCTCAGTGTGGAATTTTGTATAATCTTATACAAAATTTATACATGTAGAAAAAATATACTTGTACAAAAATGTATACATGTACAAAAAATCATACAAATTTATTTTAAAATTTGTTTTAAACTTGTTTTTTGTAGGATCACTGATGATTGAGTTTTAGAAGTTAAAAAAAAAAAAAGACGATTTCCTTTACAGCTGCCCTGTGAACAAGCTGATATGAAAACAGTAGTATTTCCAGTTTTTCTTGTCACTCTTTTTCTGAGCCAACCTTTGAGAGTTAATTTCTGTTTCCATTCATAAGTTGTTAGATGTTAGTTTCCTTTTGCTCATCTTTAAACTGTCTTTATAATTTTTAGAGCTTGTTTGAAGTGAGTGTGGTCTTTGCTCACCCAGAAACAGTTGAGGATTGCCACTTCCTGTAAGTTACAATGTAAACAACAATGCCAATTGTGCAACATTGTTAATATTTTTTGATTTTTATGAAAATAGTATTGCTCTTCTTTCTAATGAGCCTGTCAGAACTTGTCATGTCTTAGTAGGTTGTGAGCTGTCTGACATAAGGGTCTAGGCAAACCAATGCAGCTCATATAGGGATTCATTGTGTCTGCTTCTGATATCCTGAATTTAGCAGCCATGTTGTATAAAATATATTTGAATTTTATCCTCCCCAAAATAAACTCATTAATCTTTTATATTACCTTGAATTTTACTTAGACGTGCGATATGCCCAGATTGTTTCAAGCCAGCCAAAAACAAACAGGTAAGGATTCCTGCTTCTTACTCTTTAGTGAGTTTTGTTTGAGCTGAATATTCAAATTAACAACAAAAAGGATATGCATTACAAATGTTGGCAATCTATTATACTGAGAATCAGTCTTTAAATATTTCTATTTGCTACATTTATTTCCATTTTTTCAATTCTCAACACCTTTGCCTTTGGCTGGGAAGTCGTAACACACAAATATTCTCATGCTTGTGTCAGTGTCTGGATTGTTTCCCCAAGATTATGTCATCTGGGAAAATACCTGTTCAGTATCATCACCATTCCAAACTTTTGTCTAATATTTATTTTCTAGAAATCGGTATTTTGAAAATATAATCCAAAGTAAATTATTTTATTAAGAACAGTCCTGAATTAATAGAGCCTATTTCAGGCTACATTTGCCAAAAGGTATTTTATTTAAACTCTCCTTTACTGTCTGATGTGAGCTGGTCTTCATGTTAATGAGAAAAATTAGTTAGCGTGTACTTTTACTTTCTATTATGCCAGGATAGAATAGCATGGTATGATATTGGCAAGCTTTCACACCCCAGTTACTTAACTGGTTTTGTGTAGACTCAGGCATTCCTAGTTTTACCGACATCCATTTTGCTGTTGTGGTTGTTAAAAAGAATATAAGTTTATTGCCAAAGATACATCTTTTGGTCTTTCCTCTTGCCTGGGGTGGGAGGGGAGGGTTGGGGAGTTTGTAACATATGCCAAATACCCTGTGTGGAAATAATCAAAAATGCAGGAAGCCTAAAACACTTCTTGCCTCCTTTTCTCACATCATGGTATACCTAGAACATTACCATGTTTGGCCAGCACCCTGAGGTTAACATATGAAGTTGCTCTAAGTTGTAAGCAATAGGCCTGGGGGTTCTCATTGTTCCAGGCCCTGCCCCTCAGCCCTTGTGAACTAGAGGGATCTGGGCACAACTGTAGCCCAGTGGTATGCTTTGCCATACCAATTGGGAAGTTCTGCCCAAATGAGCTGTAAGCCATATTTATATTAAAGATCTAGTTTTATTTGTTGTTATCTTTGAGGAAGTATATAAGTACCAGCATCAAATAATAGAGTAAGGAAGTTTTTGTCAAACGATCATGGACACCACGCCATTTGGCCAGTAGGTGTTGTATAGTCTTAAATGTAGTTTTCCTGCCTTATGGCTGGGAATAATTTGAATGACCTTTTGAGATTCTTTCAGGCCTAAGATTTCATATCTTAACAAACAGGCACTTAATTTTTAATTCTAACCCTACGACACTTTAGGGCTCCCCAGAATATGGTTTAGAAAATCATTTTTTGATGATAAACTGTTTAGATACCTACATTATTCTTCTTTTCAGTCAAGTATAATTTCTCATAACAGAAGAAATAATTGTGATTTATCATAATGACCACAAATATATGCACTAATTAGTTCTAGTATGTCTACCATGAGGTTTGGCTTTTCTTATTTTAAAAAACCCAGAGTGGGACATTTGTAGATGCCCTTTTATTCAGTATAGTGGATTCATTTACTTTCTCAGAGGTTGGTGAGTGATATTGAATTGCTAGATGCCAGGTCAGGCTGGTTGGCTCTGTTTTACCCCTTACCCTGGCAGCCAACTCCTAAACTATATACCGTGGCCCCTGAAGGGATGTAGGGAAGAAGAGGTAGATGGGTCAGTCTAAATTTCTTTTGAGGTCTAGGAAAAAATATTCAAAGCACATTTCCTGCAATGTCATCATTTTTGTATTTGAAGAATACCACATTTTGAGGGGAATGGGAGAGTGCAGTGAAGAAGACATTCTGCTAGATCCACCTGGTATTATAGACATAGACTAGATTGAAGAGAAGGGTTATAGGGTCTACCAATCACAGAACTGACAGTATGAACACTTGTGCTTCATTTATTTTCTTGAAGTTATTAAGTATTTCTCCCTTTTAAGTATGGTTTAAAATGATATAATTTCTCCAACCATGTTCTTTGTTTCAACTCTGATGTTTTCTTATATAGGTGATAAAATGTCTTTTCTTTTCATTTTACCCTATATAGTCAGTATTCACTAGAATGGCAGTTATGAAAGCTTTGAATAAGATTAAAGAAGAGGATTTCCGCAAGTAAGTAGAATTATAGAAACAAGAAATAATCATGGAATTTTAGAATAAAGGGAATGTTAGAAATAATCTGCATTATCTCTAAAACAAGACTGGATATATTTTACGGAACAGGATTGTGTCTTAATCTTTATTATATCCCCAGTCCCTGGCTCAGTATCTGGCATGTAGTGGTGTTCAGTAAATGTCAAATTAATATTTGAATTTATGAATCATGTCCAACTTCTTTATCTTTTAGAGGAGGATATTGAGGTCCAAAGAGGGAGTTGACTTGCCTAAGATTTCAACTGGGCAATAGAGAGTGGACATAGAGCCAGGTTTCCTGATTCTCCAGCCTACTACTGGCCCCATTACATCCCTCGTCCTGGATTTCCTGTTATTGTACATCTCCAGAAGAGGGAGAAAAGGGCTCCTGAGTTTCCTTTCTTATTAAAATATACTGAACTACAGTAAATCTTAGATTTAATTCTCAGTGTGTTCATTTTATTTAATAAAATATTATCATAGTTATCCTTCCAGAAGAAGTTATGACGAAGGTTTCATATATTTTTCTGACTAAACATGAGTCTCAGAATGGAAATATTTTTATTAAAAAAAAATATTTTTTTTGGCCATGCTGCATGGCTTGTGGGATCTTAGTTCCCCGAACAGGGATTGAACCTGTGCCCCTTGCAGTTGAAGCACAGAGTCCTAACCACTGGACTGCCAGGGAATTCCCTATTAAACTTTAGGAAGTAAAGACAGTTACTCTCTACAAGCAATAGTTCCTGAGTTTCTAAGTGCTTTCTTTGTTAAGACATCTTGGGAAACGGAATGAAAACTTTAAGACAAGCATTTTGGATTAAGTCCACATCTAGTCATTTACAGGTAGATTCCATTCCATGGCTTTGGAATTTCTCAGATGGTGGACAGAGAATAAAGCCATACATTGCTCTTTCTGGTCTGTCCTCAGCTGGATTGAAGTTTCTTAGCTAAAGGACAGAGTCTGCCATATTCCACTTTTTCTGGCTCTGTGGTCTGATTCCCAAGGTCATAGTTGAAATGAAGAGGAAAAAGAGAGAAAAATGTTCGAGTACCCTCGCCACAGGTGGGACATGCTCATGTGGCCAGTCTCTGACTGCACACCAGCTTTACCCAATTGACTGAGGACCTTGTCAGCCAGCAGCAAGTGTTCATGGATAGCAAAATGAACCTGGAGAGGTTTCCACTACATATAGATGCATTTTTTCCCCCAAATCTCCAGGTTGATTTTGGAAACTGTCATTTGGGAACATGAGGCCTCCTGAGCATGAATGTTATTAGCGAGCCCTTATTTACTTAGTGCCACTCTCATGTATTAAAAGTGGTACTCCAGAGGCCTAAGAGACCCTTATGGTTCCAAAACTTAAAATTAGGGAGAGGCTTAGTCCTTGAGAGACTCAGGCTCTGTGTAACTCAGACAGTGCTGATTCATCTTAGTTATGTGTTTCAATATCATGTCTGGAAAATAGTAGCTGTAAAATTTATTTTGTTTTGCAGGCAGTTTCCTTGTCCTCCAAACTCACCAAAGGCTGTATGCAGTGTTGTTGAAATTGAATGTGCTCATGGTGCTGTTTTTGTGGCTGGTAAAATATTTAGTCCAGGATATACTTACATTGTCAATTTTCTCTCCTTTCTGAAAAACTCAACTAACTCCTCCTCTGTTTCCTTCTTACTGTTGTTATTAATTTCTGATTAGTTAACTCTTTTGAGAACTAGAGCTGATAACCAAGTTTATTGTAGGTTCTGTAGGCATTCTTAAGGGTCACTCAGGAGATTTGTTATTTAAAATGCCATGTTGAAGGGAAATGATACTTCCCAGGTTTAATAGTTTTCATCAGAGATGGCCAGGTAAAAATATGGGTACATGTACAGACCTGAAACTGGTCAGGAGAAGGGAGAGGATGTTTTATAACATGAAATCAATCCTGAAAAAAGTTATTTTATTATCTGCAAAATGACTAAACATTTGGCTTCTGCCTGGAAAAAGAAATTGTTGCATTGACTTTCCCAAGAGGTAAATCGGGTAGACAGTTCTTGTTTTGAAAGCTACAGCTGTTTCATAGTAATAGCTGAAATGAAATTGCTCTTTAGTCTTGAGTATAATATCCTGCCCTGGTGTAATAAAAGCTACCTGCCTTGGAGTAGCTTTTTTCATAAAACAGTGAGTCATATTCTGTTAGGGTTTTTTTTTTTTGCTTACAAAAACTTCAAAATTTCCTGTATTTGAATTCTTTGGAATACATTATCACCAATGACTATTACACTGAGAGTGTTATTAACCAGGCATAAAAACAGTAGTTGCTCTTTTTTTAAGTGATTCATAGTGTGTTCCATACTATTGTAACTTGTTCAGTCAGCCAAAAAGATTAATAAGTATATTGAGCATTCCTTTAGAACTCATTTGATGATTCATACCATGTCTTTAGCCATCTCTTCTATTGCTACCTTAAATTTTTTCATTTAATTATGTGTATGTGTTGACTCTCCAAATTAGATTGTAAGTTAGTTGAAGGCTAAGCCTTGTTTTATATCATAGCACCTAGGATACTGGCACTCAATAAATAGCTGTTGCTTTCCTTTTTATCCTATTGTGTTAAGCACACCATTCCATCCAGGTGACCTTTATATTTCTTTGGCAGGGAGATATAATAAATACTCCAGGAATCTACCACAAACTCCTTGGATAATTGATGGAGAAAGGAAGCTGGACTCTTCAGTGGAAGAATTAATTTCAGACCATCTTTTGACAGTGTTCAAAGCAGAGAGTAAGTGTTATAATATCCATATTTTAGTTACATTGTCATTCATGAATAGACTTCTTGGAGGTGGCAGAAAAGATTTCTATATTTTGTAAACCACCACCAAGTCTGGGCCCCTTGGCTGGCAGCTTCCTGTGAACAGGGACTGCTGTGTCCTGAGCTCCTCTGCCCTGGGCTGGATTTGCGCCAAGGTGCCCTAGGATTTCTCTCCTCTCTCAAGATTACGCTTTTTCCTGGGCAAATTCAAAACAATTGAAACTACTTTAAATGAATGCACTTAAGCTCTGACCTTGGGACACCTTGAGCCTCTGCCTCTTTTTGGGAATATGAGGTAATTAAAATACAGCTTCCACATCAAGTGCTGTTCAAGAATAATCACTGGCAAATGCCCAGCTTCCATCTTAACGGCTAAAGTGTCCTAGAATAAAGTTCAGGCCTAGAGAAAATAGATCAATAGCTACCATTTTACAAAGACTTAATAGTAGTTGTGTTGTTTTAATTTCCTAAGTATTAATGAGCCCAGGTTTGTGGGGTGAGTCAGATCCTGTCAGGCATATGCTTTCTTTGCTCAATAGGGCTATCAGGTCAAAGGAGTAAAAAACCTTGTGATTTCACCTAGGATTAGACTAGAGGAAAGGGACTAAGATTTCAATCACAAGAAACCATGTTGTACATCAGGAGAAACTGTAGACAATGAGTAAGTATATCATACTCTTTGGAGTGGGTCTCCTAGCATAATTAGAACACCTTTTTAAAAAATATTTATTTATTTATTTGGTTATGCCGGGTCTTAGTTGCGGCAGGCAGGCTCCTTAGTTGCGGCATGTGGGCTCCTTAGTTGCGTCAGGCAGTCTCCTTAGTTGTGGCATGTGAACTATTAGTTGCAGCAGGCATGTGGGATCTAATTCCCTGACCAGGTATTGAACCCGAGGCCCTGCATTGGGAGCATGGAGTCTTAACCACTGCTCCACCAGGGAAGTCCCAGAACACCTTTTTTGAAGGACCAGATAGACCAAGACATCCATCTTTTTCTCTGACAAACCTTAAGACAAGCCTGCTTTAGGAATGACGAGCAGGTGACCAAAATGAGACATGGCTATCCCTTCCAGCTCTCTGCTTGTTAAGAGGAAAGAGAAGCACTTCAAAAACCATATCCCTCTTATAATTTGTTGCCTATCAGGTAGGTGGGCCCTTTTAAAAAGGGCCTTTAAGAATTGTTTACTGAATGGAGAAGAAAGTAACTTAGCAACGTAATATTTTTCAAAATCTTAGCTGTAAAGGGCTATTGCCACGAGCTTTTACCTACTTGATTTAATATTTACACGCTGATTATCTCCTAAGACTTATCCAAGTTATGAAGAAGTGAAAATAAAGCGTTAGCATGAAAAGTGTCCTTCAAACTCTTTTTGGGGGGCTACCTTATTCCCTTTCTGTAAGAAAATTCAAGATTTTGTTCTGATTATTTGGGTCCCAAGGAAGCCTCCATTACCAAGAGGGCTGTTGGGGGGCTCTGAAATAGCTATATGTTTCCCCCTTGAAATCTTTCATGAAGGTGATTTGTTGTCATTTTCCATTTGAGGAGGGGAAAAAAATTTCTCCAAACTGAAAATAAAGCAAACTGTGTGTTTAGCATCTGTAATTGTGTGCTGAGGAAATCTATTAAGAGCTGCTTGAGAAAAAGCAGACCTCTGGGCCTCTGTGCTAACAGGCTCCTTGTCGTGAAATAAAACCTTGTTGTTCGAAATGCCTGATTAATAGCATCGATTTGCTAAACTTGTGCTTCTCAGATACATTACTCGTTACTTCTGTGATTCACATCTGACAACTCTGGGAAAATGGTTCTGACTGTTGTACCTCTGTGCTTTACAGCTCTATGAAAATAAACCAGTATTGCATGAAGCAACCTAGCTACTTCTATAAAGCAGAAGTAACTAGTACTCCTTCCCCTCAGTGGGAGATACAAACTTGTTTCTCAGCCACTTCAGACTGACACATCATATTCTCTACTTGCCAGTTCTCTAGTTAATAAGTAAAACTTTGAACACACTCTCAAAATCAATATGTCTAAGAAATGTTTTCCTAATACATTTATTACTTCACTTATGGAATAAATATTTGTCATGTCAGTTCCCTGCTGAAAACTGGTCAGTGACTAGCTACAGGGTAAAGTCCAAACTATATAACTTGATATTCTGAGACCGTCATCATCTGGCCTCTGCCCATCCTTCAGTCCCATTGTCTATCTGCCCCCAGGTATGAGAGCCACTACAGACTATTGAACCCCTTACAGTTCCTGATCATTCTTGCCCTTGGTTTTGTCCTTGTTGTTTGTTTGTATGTTTGAAATATCTGTTCCATTGAGCAGAAGTCTGTAGAACTCACAGGATTAGGGGGATAAGGCAAGGCGTAATGTGAGTTTAGAAAAATCAACTAAATTTTAAGCATATATTTCCTCATACTTAAGGCAGTGACTCCTTTTCCTATTTTTTGTCATTTATTATTCATAATTGCAAATTATTTTTTAAAGTTTGCCCCCTGAAGTATTTCTCAACGTAGGGTCCAAATTTGCAACATTTTTCTAAAAGATATAATAAATACCCCTTCTCCCTTAATCTGGATTTAATGTTTCTTTGGACTTCTCAAGAGCCTAGTTTTCTGTACTTTTTTCTTATTGATGGGCTGGAATTTGTGGGAAGTTTTATGGGCTAATTTATGAATTTGAGATTTCTGGTCTGATTGAGTAGTCACTAGTAGATCTACCTCTTTGTGTCCTGTTCATTCCCTCCACTGCTATCAGTCACAGGTTATGGCTTAGTCACTGTAGGGTCCTGGTTCCCCAGTATTATGCCTGGATTAGAGATGGAGGTGGGCAGGTATAAGACAAACTACAGCCTCCCACTCCCACCCCAGGGAGTATCTTTCAGCTTCCCAGATGCCATTTTGAACTCTCCATGTAGCTATCCATCCCTAGTTAGCACTACTCTTGAATCTGTTGACTCTGACTAGAAGCTGCTGATGTTGCTATAGGTTTATTTGCTGCTTGACAATGGAGTATAGACATGGAATGGAGGGTTCTTTGGGACTTAATGGTCCACAGAATCCTACTACCTGCCTGGTGTAGATTCTCCCCCTGGAGAAGAGCCTGACATTGTGCCCCTCATGGCTGCCCGCTTGGCTAGTCCCCAGGTGTTAGCACTGCACAAGTTACCCAGACCTCTGAGCAGCTTGAATTCTAGGCTGACCTTAGATACCTAGGCCTTACCTAACCAGTCCTGGGTTGGTCCTCTCTGGGAGACACACAGTGTTGGGCCGTGAAGTGGGCAGAGCCCACTTCACCTTGGCAGTGGGTGACAGGCAACAGCTTGGAGCCCATATTTCCAACAAGCGTTGGCCTTGACTTGCTAAAGGGATGTCTTAAAGGTGAAGGAAGGGTGAAATCTTACTTTCTTCACAGCTAAACATCCTAGAAAGGAGAGCTAATCTTCAGTGTAGTTTTTATAGCACTTTTCAAGCCTTTTAGCCTTCCTTTTTCTAAAATCTACATGGGACCTTTGCATATTGAACCTTTCCTAGGAGAAAAATGTCTGTCAAAATGGTACAGACCCTCCTTCCCTTCTACCTTTCCTGTCTGTCCTTCCCAGCAATCTTGTCCTTCCTCATCTTGTGCTCTCCAAAGTGGCTGAACTATGGATTGACCAGGGTTTCCAAAACATCCTAGTCTTTCCCAATCCCTGGTACAAGAGAACTGATTGGTCTTGCTTGTCCCAGTTGGCATGAGTCTGAGCTCTTCCAGCTGTCTTTGTGGTGGTGCAGTGTAGACAGTGATTAAGAGACTCTGGAGCCAGACTGCCAGCCTGGTTCAAATCCTGACCCTACCAATTACCAGTGATGTGATCCTAGGCATGTTACTTATGCTGTCTCTGTCTCACCTTCCTTATAAGTAAAATGGGGATAATGATAGTATCTACCTCATAGTGTTAACATATATGAAGTACTTAGAATAATGCCTGCTCATGGTAATCTTTCCTGTGGTGAAATCATCAGTTATTTCTGTATCTAAGAAAGTTGTCATGGAACCACTTCCCCTGCCCACCCACACTGTATTGACCACTTTCCCATTCCAATATTTGCAGCTTTTAGTCTGTGATGATCCATCTGTCTTAAAATGTATACTAGTTATATTGTGGTTCCAGCTTAGGTTTGCTTACATAATGAATTTCCTTTTAGAATCAAACCTTTTTTTCCCCCTCCTCTTCCTTTCATAGAGTTTAATTCTCAAATAATGTTTTTATTTTGTTTTCTTTTGTTTCAAGGAAAAGACGAAAGATAGATTTTTCACCATAAGTTTGTAGCCAGGGTGGTAGTGGGGCCTTCCTCCAAACAGTGCCATGCCTTTGGCTTTCCCATGGGATGGTGGGCTGGGATGATAAGTAAGGTCTGGCTTTGACATCAGAAACATCTAGCTCTGCCATTTAGTCATGTTCCCTTGGGAAAAGTACTTAACCTTTCAGAAGCTTGGTGTTCTTTTATTTAATACCTACCTCATAAGGTTATAATAAGGATTGAGTGAAATAATGTATGCAGAATTTTAGCTCAGTACCTGGTATGTAATAAGTGCTCAATAAGTGGTATTTATTATTATCATTGCTATTTTTAGTAGAGATTGGGATTAGAGGTGTGATGATGACTATTCCTTGGGATTCTCTTGTAGATTGTTTAAGACAAATTGGGTTTCTACCAAAGGATGGGAATGAAAGTCTTAGCACTGTTATGTCTCTGATTTTTTTTTTTCTTTATCTGCTTTCCAAAGGCTTTAATTTTTCATCCTCTGGGAGAGAAGATGTAGATGTGAGAACATTAGGAAATGGTAAGATTGTGACAATATCACTTGACTGGAACTAACTTTCAGATTATCACCCTTTTCAGACAGCAGCTTTTTTGTAGTCACTTAGTCATAATCAAAGTTGGCAGAGCCCAGAGCTTCTCCACGTGAGGAAGCCTTGTGGATTATGGAGCTACCCTTGTAAATTATATGACTATGTTTTAACAGGGATCATTTCTTCAGAGGCCATCTTTATTGAATACCTGTAGGTTATAAGGGACTTCTATGTGCATTAACAAAGAGGTGCCTGATTTTTTCCAAAACTTTGATAATTAATTGTTCCTTTTAATAACATTTCAGTACCAGTACAATTTTCAAAATGCACCTCATTTAAATTGCAAAATGTCTTCATTTAAAAAGTGCTTCTGCTCTCTTAGCCTTCATTTCTCTCATTTTACATTGTTGCATTACAAGAAGGATGATGAGAGTAATCCTGAGGTATTCGAGATTTATAGTCCCTTCTTCTCATGGAATCTCAGCTTTTCATTTCACTAGGCTAGGAGAATGTATTTCAATTTGGTATACCTGGGCATTGCTGCATGTGACAACATTACGTTAGTGTAACCAAGTCAATTAGTGGCTGTTTGGATTTGATTTTGTAATTAACACAGGCTTGTTCATGGACTTTTGGGAAAGCAGTCGTTTTTACATATTGCCTGTCCTGGGGTTTAGCAGCCCCCAAAAAGCCCCTTGATTCTTTTCACACATTCTTCTCTCCCCCAGATGTAGTCATGTCACTAAACTTTCAGTCCTCTAGAGCTCAACTCATTTTTTCACACCTCCTAACCCTCTTGCATTAGCCCAAATGTTAACTCCATCAACACGTTTCTGTTTCATGACGGGGTGTGTGCTGCCAGGAAGGCCCTTTGCAATTGAGCTGGTGAATCCTCATAGAGTACATTTCACTTCACAAGAAATTAAGGAACTTCAGCAGGTAAACCACTTCATGACATGGAAATTGTCATGTTTCTGCAACTCTGTAACTGAACTAGAGTTGCTAATTGTTTTTCTTTCTCTAATACTACAGAAAATTAATAACTCGTCTAACAAAATCCAAGTCCGTGACTTGCAGCTTGTCACAAGGTAAGGGTAGGATCACTGGAGATGTTTTCAAGAGGGGAGTTTTGGTTGTAGATCATTTATCTGATAAGGGATTTGTATCCAGAATATGTAAAGAACTCCTACAACTCAATAATAAGAAAATAACTCAATTAAAAATGGAGAGATGATTAAGTGAACATTTCTCCAAAAAGGATACACAAAATAACCAGTGAATACATGAAAAAATGCTCAACATCATTAGTCATTAGAGAAATGCAAATCAAAACCACAGTGAGATCCCACTTCACAAAAAGACAGAAAATAACAAGTGTTGGCAAGGATATGGAGAAATTGGATCCCTCATACATTGCTGTGGGATTATAAGTGGTGCCACTTTGCAAAACAGTTTAGCAGTTTCTCAAAAAGTTAAATATAGAGTAACCATATGGCCCAGCAGTTCCACTTCTAGATATATACCCACGAGAAATGGAAATGTACATCCACACAGAGACTTCTGCATGAATGTTTATAGTAGCATTACTCATAATAGCAAAAAAGTAGAAACAACCCAAATGTCTATGGATGAACAAAATGTGAATGTGGTATATCCATACAGTGGAATATCATTTAGTAATAAAAAAGGATGAAGTACAGATACATGCTACAACATGGATGAACCTTGAAAACATTATAAAGTGAAAGAAGCCAGACATCAAATATCACTTATTGTGTATTTTACAATATTCACATTTTAATATATGAAATGTTCAGAGTAGGAAAATCTATAGAGACAGAAAGTCAACAAGTGGTTGCCAAGGGCTGGGGGAAATGAGGAATGAGAAGTGATTGCAAATAGGTGCAGAGTTTCTCTTCTGGGGTGATGAAAGTGTTCTAAAGTTAGATTGTGGTAATAGCTGCACAACTCTGTAAACGTACTAAAAATCACTGAATCGTTCAGTTACACAGGGGAATTGTATGTAAATTATATCTCAATAAATCTATTTTTAAAGAAAGGGAAGTTTGGGGCAAGTCTTGTCTGTATTTTATATATTCAGACAAACTTTCTTTTATTGTTTTTGTTTAGAGAGGCAATAGGTCATATGAAAGAAGGTGAAGAAGAAAAGACCAAGACCTATAGTGCCTTAATATGGACAAATAAAGCAATACAGAGGAAGGACATTGAATTCCTAGATGACATAAAGGTAGTTCAGTGCTCTAATTCTTTTATTTTTCTACTGCCTATAAAAGAGTCCTTTGTCTTCTCGTTTATTACCAACAAGTCATAGCGCATAGGCTTTGGGGACTGTGAGACCTGGTTCTAAATCTTGCCTTTGCCATTTACTAGTTAAATGACTGGGCAATTCATCTAACCTGTGTGAGAAGCAGTGTTGCTAGTGATTAAGAGTCTGACTCCAAGGACAGATCGTCTGGGTGCAAATCCTGGTTCTGCATTTCTTAGTTGTGTGACTTTGGACAAGTTGCTTAGCCTCTTAATGCTTCAGTTTCTTCATCTGTAAAATTAGTTAGAAGAATTAAACGGGGTTAGCCATATAAAGCTCTTAGAATAGAATCTGGCACATAGAAAACACTCAGCAATGCTATTATTATATTTGGCCATTTGCAAAAAGGAAATAGAAAATAGAACTTATCTAATAGAATTGATGCTCAGATTAAGTGCATAAATAAAACATGTTGTTAATAGGGCATCCCTGGTGGCACAGTGGTTGAGAGTCCGCCTGCCAATGCAGGGGACACTGGTTCGTGCCCCTGTCTGGGAAGATCCCACATGCCACGGAGCGGCTGGGCCCGTGAGCCATGGCCGCTGAGCCTGCGCGTCCGGAGCC